CCCCCCCCCCCCCCAAAAAAATATCAAATTATATATTTCTGTAAATTAAGTATATGAAATGATTATTCATAAAAAATCGGTTGAAACTATAGTTTCAAAGCATTTTGTTTTCATAATGTAAGTTTATTCATTTCTTATTTTGAAGTTAGAATCATCTAATTCTAACTATTTACCATGTTTGAAACTTTATTATAATCTCAATAAAGATTTTTAGAAATCGCCTAAAACTACCGTAATATGATTTTTTTTGTATGAGGAAATATTATTAAACTTTTGTTTCTTATTTTCAAATATAGAATATCTTATTATAATCATTTACAATCTTATTAACAACTTCAAACATTCTTAAACGAGTTTTTATACCAAAATCGATTTTAACTACCGAGTTTTGATTTTTTGCTTAAGTAAAACTTATTAAACTTATTTTTTATTTTCAAGCAGATAACATTTTGTTTTAAAAGATTACAATGTTATTAGCCATTAAAATTTTTATTAGACTATATATCTTTTAAGGATTTTATTCCAAAATATTATTTCTAAGTCTTTACTCGCTTTCTTCGTTCATTATTTATTCGATTTAAAATGAACTGATTTGATTTTAAAATAATTCTACTCAATCAACTATTCTATTTTTTTTTGTTTTTTGTTTTTCATCCATTTAGGGTTTGTTGGAACCCTGTTCACTTCCCAATTTTTTCTTCATTTTCATGTATTTCATCATGTTATAATACCATTATTTCATTGAATGCTAATTGTTGAACTATACAACTTTCTGATTCATAAAAAAAATAATAACAAATGATAGTATAAATTTACATATAATTGATGTTAATATATATATATATATATAATTTCTGTAAATATAGGAGTGAATAATACAACTCATTGTTTTAATAATAATTACTGATATTAAAGTTATTTAAAGTAAATCCCAGATTTAACAATAGAACGCACATTACACAAAATTTTCATGCTAAAATTTCTATCCAAAATTATTGAATATGCATGTTATATTGGGTATCTGAATTTTGTCTATTGCTAGATTGATCAAAATGCCATTTCAGGTAAACAATTCGAACCATAGATTTATTTATTTCTTTTATTATTATCTCGAGATTCGACCAATGAGTTTCACGCCTACCGATTGGGCATCATTCATGTCTGTGAACAATCTTTGCCTAACTTGTCCTATGGAATAAATTAATGATTTATAACAAATTTTATTTAAATTTATTGTAAGTTAAATGTATGATTTCTATTGGTACCTTACGTTTCACCTTCTTCACCTATTTGATTTAAGATAGGACACCACCAACAATATATCAAGACACGCAGACCATATAATATATTTATATATATATATATATATATATATATATATATATATATATGTGTGTGTGTGTGTGTGTGAGTGTGAGTGTATGTGTGTGATTCAGTTCGAATTCCATACAATTTTAATTAAGTAACATCTGTATTTTTAAAAACGAAAATTGTTTTTATTGGGTTATATTTCGATTGGTTTTGTATTTGAATTTGACTAATTTGATTATAAAAATAATATCCAGTTAACTTTTAAATGTATTTAATCCGAAGATTTTATTCATTATTCGATTTCAGATATATTGGCACATATTAACGATTACATGATCTGGGTCCCTCACTCAATAATATAAAAGTAATAAGAAGCGAGATATTTTTACACCTTTGTTACACGCAAATGTATATAGATATACAGCAAAATAATATATGATTCTCGTGAGTCGTGACAATCTTTATCTTCTTTGGGGTCTACCCTCATCATATTCATATGCTAAAATATATTATTTAAATAAGGATCGATGCCATTCGGCCATTGTCTACTAATCATATTATTATTATTATTATTATTATTATTATTATTATTATTATTATTATTATTTATTGGAAAATCAAACAAAAAGATTAATCTGCATATCTTAGAATTATATAATGTCCTTGTTAATGGAGAATCTATAAAGAAATTGGAAGATTATTTGTGAACCGTTGATTATTGAGTCAAAAGAGGAATAAATACCAAGTGGCCAGTGCAAGCAATCATTAAGTGGTGAACACCGAAGAGATATATATCTTCATGACATTTTATAAAAAAAGTTTATCTTAGTGTACAAATCAAACAATTACTTTTAGAAAGAAATATCAAATAGCCAAGAAAAATATTAATTTATAATGTTTTGGTATTTGTTTAACTAATTTTTTATTAGGTTAAGATAAGTATCGAAGTCGATAGATAATTTATTTTAAAATTAATCTTCACGTGTAAAATTTCTGCTGTGGGAAAAAAAGAGAGAGAGAGGAAGATGAGGAAACAGCTTGTAATGGAATAAAGGAATCTTGAATTTATTATAATTCTAAAAAAATATTAAAATTAGTTATAAATATCTATAAACAGTAAAAATTATAGACTATCAATATAGGGTAGTTACATGTCATTATGCTAACAATATAAACGGAATGATTCTTATAAAACACGTGACCAAAAAATGTAATATATTATATACATATATTTGTTTAATAAACTATATTTGATTCTAGAAAATAAAAATAGTTTGATAGATTGATATTAAATTACAAATTAAAAACTAATTAACGAAAGAAAGTACTCTCTTTTCACTATAAAAGCAACAAGCAAGCAATCACCAAAATTCACGTCTCTCAAAAGTCTTCAGACTCGAGCAACTCACAGGCGCCACCGTCGTCTTCTCCGCCGTAACCCCGCGAGTCATGGAATCTCCGTCTCACCGGAAACCGCAGGCACAGTCTCCGGCGGCAAAAGCACATGGGAACATTCTCCTCGGGAAATACCAACTAGGTCGCCGACTCGGCAGCGGGAGCTTCGCGAAGGTACACGTGGCTCGTTCCATCGGAAACGACGAGCTCGTTGCCGTCAAGATCATCGACAAGAAGAAAACCGTCGACTCGGCCATGGAACCGAGGATAATCAGGGAGATCGACGCAATGCGTCGGCTCCATCACCACCCAAACATCCTCAAAATCCATCAAGTTATGGCAACCAAATCAAAGATTTACCTCGTCATGGAGTTCGCCGCCGGTGGCGAGCTCTTCTCCAAGGTCCTCCGCCATGGCCGCTTACCGGAAACATCGTCCCGCCGGTACTTCCAGCAGCTCGCCTCCGCCCTCCACTTCTGCCACGAAAATGGCGTCGCTCACCGAGACGTCAAGCCGCAGAATCTGCTGATCGACAGAGAAGGAAACCTCAAGGTTTCCGATTTCGGCCTCTCCGCCTTGCCAGAGCACCTGAAGAACGATGGGTTGCTCCACACGGCTTGCGGTACGCCGGCTTACACGGCACCGGAGGTCGTGGCAAGGCGAGGCTACGACGGTGCGAAGGCCGACGCTTGGTCGTGTGGCGTCATCCTATTTGTTCTACTTGCCGGATACGTCCCCTTTGATGACTCAAACATCGTCACCATGTATAGGAAGATCCACCGGAGAGATTACCGTTTCCCGAATTGGATCGCGAAACAATCACGATCCATCATCTACCACATGCTCGATCCGAATCCTGAAACGAGGATGAGCATAGAAACCGTCATGAGAACATCCTGGTTCAAAAAATCACTGGAAACCTCCGATTTCCATGGCAGAATCTTCGAATCGGACCCATTTCTACACAAAGAGGCGAAATCCACCAGCGACACCATCACTGCGTTTGACATAATCTCTCTATCTTCAGGGTTAGATCTCTCGGGTCTCTTCGAACGTAGAAGGCAGAGGGAGAAGAGATTCACAGCTAGGGTTCCGGTGCACGAAGTGGTGGAGAAAGTGAAGGAGATCGGAGAAAGGTTAGGTTACGTAGTGGAGAAGAAGAAAGGAGGAGGAGAAGCTGCGGCGGCAATGGTGGGTCTGGGAAGAGGGAGAACGGCCGTGAAGGTGGAGGCGGTGGAGATCACACCGGAGGTTGTTGTGGCAGAGGTGAAGGTGGCAGAGGGAGACGAGGAGGAATTCCGGTGGTCGGAGTTGAAATCAGAGCTTGATGAGATTGTTCTCTCATGGCACAATGATGCCATGTAAATCTTCTCCTTCTTCTTTCCTGTGTACAGTTTTGTAGTAACTACAACGTAAATCAGTTCTAAGTCTTCCTTGATCTGTTTCGTTATCTTCTTCTAGACCTACAAACAAAGCTTCAGATGCATAAACAAAGCTACCATTCCCTAAATCCAAAATGCTGTCTTCGATCTTATGTTCGAAAATGGAATAGAGAGTGGAAGATCCATACTTCTAGGCCCCTCCTGCAGTCCTCTTCTTCTTCTCGGTGCTTCCATCTTAGGCACGGGTTTCTTCGAGAGCCCGAGCTTTACCAGAATCATATTCCCGAATGATCGGGCTGAATTTGCGACGGAACCATCTCTCTGAAAGTCGCGACAGCTTCCTTGAATCTTCCTTCAACAGTGAAACATGTTCAATTTATAACAATCCTTGCTCTTGAACCACTTGGAAAATTTCCAGCGGTCTCTCCCACAAAGAAATCACCCTCTCCTTGTTGCTAAGTGTCTCTGGCCACGGGCTCAGCTCCTCTTCGACATTCTCAATACTATCCAAAATACATCCTCCATTACTCAGCCATTTCTTCAAACACTTGGCATTCACTTTTACAACCATGTCGTTTCCATTGAATCCTTCCCACCCCCAGTCCTCTTATCACCAACCTTCAATTTCCCTACCCGTTTCGTTATCCGGGTCTTCCCCAAAACCTGGTTTTCCGACAAAAAAATCCGCAGACAACATCGCGTCTATAACCGTCATGGGTTCTACGTACGCAATTTTTCAGGCTTTCCCTGACTGGGAGAGATTTTTCGAGGGGAAAATCGGTGAACTCGGTGGTAGGGTTTTTGAGGAACACAGAATTTGCAAGCTACTACCATCTAAACCAAGATTCAAGAACATTTTTCACAGAAAGAGAGACTTACGGATACGAGGGTGTTCCTCCCGCTGCGACGGAGACGGAGATGGTGACGTGATTCTCCGTCCTCTAGGGTTCCGATGAGATTTTTTCTTTGATGACTCTACAACGGATATAACTGTAATCGCCACTCGCCTTCATATTTATTGTACACCATTAAGTCTGTGATTATTAATTCAGCACCCCCTAAATTATCCCTATTTTCGAAATGCGCCCAATAATTTTGAAGATTTCAAGATAATCCATAATAGAGTGTTTTGGTAACCCACACTTGCATTCTTTTTCTGCAACCCTCTCTAATATCGAAAATCTTGATCGAGGGCAAAGGCTGAGGAAGCACATGGTTCACTACTTGCAGTACTTCTTGAACCAGACACCGATGTTGAGGAAGCTCTCAAAGTCAGTTTGCGGTCTGCAGAGTAAACACCGGACAAAAAAACGTGCTTTCAAGACGCGGGTCGGAAAAAAGTTCAAGATTTTTTTTCTAGCCAGATATACTTTAACTATGGATGACGAATTGCGGGTTTTGCCTTTTACCTGTCTAAAGGGTGATTATCATCGGGAAAGAACAAGACTTTAACTTCCACTTCTTTCTCCTTCAGTGCTCTCGCATACTATACGTTTCAAAAGCCATAGCAATGAGTTTTGGGTCTGAAAACTCGAACATCATATTCTTTGGGGGCTTAAATAGAAAAGGATTTTCTTACTTGCAATCCATTTGAAACGGGAACACGAAGGTCCTGAGCTCCTAAGAGAAACAAGGTGGGCGTTTTCACCTGCAGAAATCATGTACAAGAATCTAACATTGATGTTCTTCTTTACCATCCATATAGTTTCGGTTAAGAAATGAAGTTAAGAGTGATGGATAAATTGACTACTGGCTTCACCTTAGAGAGGTGGGATATAGGAGACATCTGATGAAAATGCGAGAGATCCTCGGGTGAGGGTGCTTCGGTAAAGTGGTTTCTGTTCCCATAGGCTTCGAAGAAACACCAATCGGGTATATCCGATATGCCAACCATTGATGCAATATTGCAGACAGGATTCCTTGCAACTGCTGCTACAAACTTATCGGGTGCCTGTAGAAATCCTTCCGCGTAAGAATATGAGGATTTCTAATCCAGTGCCTATCAGAAAAGTTCGGAATACCTGGCCAATCAAGTGGGTAGTCAGAAACCCGCCATGAGAACCACCAAGGACGGTTATTCTTGACGGGTGTGCAAGTCCCATGTCAATGGTAAGGTCGATGGCCGCGAGCACGTCTTTCACGTCCTGTGGCAGGTAAGATAAAGGTTAAATTTTTTGCAGTCCTAGGAATCGGGGTAGGAAGAAAGAGAAAGAAAAGAAATGACATTTACCTGAGACCCGATTTTCCCGGGAAGAGACTGTAAAGCTTCCTCCCCAAACCCTAATGAACCCCTGAAAATAAATCACCAAAAACCAAATCAGTATTGCTAGTACTCTTTCCAACAGGTCAGTGCATTTGCAAAATCTGAAGCTTTCACAAGTCAAGTATTCTGGCTCTACTTAAGACAAGTTCAAAAGAAGATATGGTTTCCGATACCTGTAATTTACGATTAGCAAACTGTTTCCAAGCGAGGAGAGATAAGCTAGTGATTTAGAGAAGCTGCATGGAGAGACAGAATGAGGGCCTCCATGGATAACGACAATTAGCGGATCACATTTCCCGTTCTTCTTAGAGTTTGAAGATACATAAATAGCCTCAAAAGGTTTCTTAGCTCCTGAGATGGGTTTATCATAAGGAAACAGTCAGAAAACATATCTTCAGAAGATGTAGAACATGCTCTTACCCATAAGACTTAAAAATGTGAGTACCTTCAGTAAGACAATCAGAAGCATCATTGACTAGAATCTTCAGAATCTTGAAGTGAAGAGATGAAAGCAAGGACACAATCTGTCATGATTAGGAAAAAAAAAGAGATGCATAAGAAAAAGAAAAATCAAACTCATAAACCATCGACATCGCTCAAGTGGTCAGCCAATAAGCTAATACCTTCTCAGAGCATCTGAATACAGGGCTTGAAATACCGAACCAATTCCATGAAGGCTTCCCAGCTGAATCCAGTGTTTTCTTCCCATACTTGATTTCAGGAATATCCACTGGACTGCTAGATACTACTCACAGAAGAAAAAAATAACATATTTCAAATCTGCATACTTGTAAGGTGACAGCTAGTATTGGCTCAAGATGTTACCGGCAATAATATCATCACCATCCAATGCGAGGATATTCCATGAACTATCAGAGTCGCTAGGACTGACTCGTGACACTTCACCACTGAAAATTTCAAGAATTTTGTCATCAGGTTGCTGCAGAAGAAAACATGTAGAGACTAGTTTTTATTGAAAAGAATATACAAAGGTTTTGTCAGTCACCTCAACAAATCCACAGAGAGGATTACTTGGCAACTGCGCCAGAAGGAAGACAAAATAAGAGTACGCCCGTCTGAAAGCCACGGGTCAGTCAGAACCCCGGTAGAATAAAGCCCCGGGAAACATCCATCCTCAGGGCAGTTCACTACTCGAACCTGAATGACAAATATTTCAGCATCTCAGAAATTACACAGTAGAAAGAGATTAATCTTTGTTTACCATACATGGATGATCCTCAGAAACAAAGTTTGACAAGCTCAAGAAAGTTTTGACGCCTCTATAGGGTGAAAATAGTGAGAAATATTCATATGATCTCACCACATCGACTACATTTGTAGATTCAGTAAGCTTCCCATCACTAGGCCAATCGATCCTGTGGAGTGACTCGGTTGCCCAATGAGCCCCAGAATTGACGGCACTCTTTGCGGATAAGAATATAATAAACTTCCCGTTCTTGCTGAGAGAAGAAACAGATAATGAGGGAAAGA